GAAGAAGAAGAAGAAGAAGAAGAAGAAGAAGAAGAAGAAGAAGAAGAAGAAGAAGAAGAAGAAGAAGAAAGAGGAAGAAGAAGTAAGAGGAAGAAGAAGAAGGCGGCAGTGGCATAATGAGGCTGGTCCCAGGAGTGAGACGCAGAGACCAGCCGTGAAGAACTGTTGCTGCAGGGTTGCTAACAAGACCAAGGGCCACTGGAAAGACAGCTCTTCCTGGCCCGAGGCCTCCCTCTCATCCTTCTGAGCTCCCTCTAGGGCCTCTCCTGGAAGTCAGTGGGCAAAGGAGAAGGGAGACATGGAGCTCATCCTCCCACAACATGGAAAGGTGGGCTTGGAGTGAGGGGAGAGCAGCTGACCAGGAGCCCATCATGGGGTTTAGTACTACTGCCATGTAGAGGAAGCCCTGGACCGAAGGCATAGCGCTCCGTGTTTTGATTGCTGAACAAAGTGCTCATGTAAATTCTCTGGCATCTTCCCTGAGAGTACAGGGAAGCCTCCAGCTTCTAGGGAAAAACAAGAGTATCCACCTGACCTGCACGGTGGGCACTGTCCCTGCAGGGGCAGGATGCTCATGTAAGCCTCCACACTGTGGTCGCTAGGTCTCAGCGACTGCAGAAGGGAGCCACTGAACTCACGGAGCGTCGTGATTTTGTGCAGGTCAGTGAAAGAGACCAATCTAGAACATAACTGTGCCCGAGGCCGCCAATATTCTCTCTTGAAAGATAACAAGGCAGCAGGGACAAGTTCAAATAATTCTCTTAATTACCTATTCTGTTCTTTCATAAGTATTTTAATGATGTTCCAATTGGCTTCATTGATACTACTAGTTTTTCTTAATTTGTTGAAAAGAATTTTGGGCTAATAGCTGTTTCTTCTTTGTAAGACAGAATTCTTTTTTCGCCTATGTCTTGTACTCTGAGTAACTTTTGAAGATAAAGATACATAATGTATTAGCTATTATAATTTTCTCAAAAAAAAAAGAAAAATCTTTGATTAAAATAAAAAGAACCTTGTTCCAGTAGGGGAATAGAGACATCTGCATTGGAGCAACACACCTCTGAAATTCTCTGAAGATGTTCATCCTTCTTACAATCTCACCAGCAGATAAAATGAGGGAGAAGAGTGTGAAATCAATCCCCATACTAGCCCAAAGGACAACCCATCTGCTCTGAGTGTGACCTACAGTTTTGAAGGCTCAGGAGATAGGGATTCTCCCAGGACACTGGGCGTAAATCACCCACGGAGCTTCTCACATGTGGGTTTCTAGGTGCTGTCACTGGAGAGTCCGAGCTGGCAGGTGAGGGGGGAGCCCTTGGTGTGCACTGTAATTATCATGACAGGTGACTCGGCTCCACTCTAACAAGCACTGCAGGTGACTGCTGTGGTGTGAGGATCCCGGCCAAGCCGGCCAGGGAGATATTCTGGTGCGTCCGGCATCTCACAGTGTTTCACGCTCTCGATCTTTGGGTGTGTGGTGAGGACAATGTGACCTTACATAAAGAGCAGGAACAGAACTCCGTCTGTGTCAGGATGCTCAGGGGCAGACCGCAAAGTCAAACCGGAGCCCCGGCATGCTGGGAACTCGATCAGACACTTCAGTCACGAGGGCCCTTGAAAGCGCCTGGGACAGCTTCATTTTAAGAAACAGTCATTTTTGCAGGACAAGCAGTGGCCTGGGAGACAGGAGACCTGGGTCTGTCCCAAGTTCTAGCAGTCCCTTGGCTGGTGTCCAGCGCCTGAAACTGTGAATGCTGGTCCTGCCACTTACTGGCTCTGCAACCTTGGCTATTTGGCCAACTAAAACCAGCTCTGAAATGATCATCATACATATCCCAGGCTTGCAGTGAGAAGAAAGCAAAGGCATGTACATGTGGTGCTCAGCAGAGCGTTTGGCATAAGTTGGTGCTCAGTCACTGGGGTGTGGTAATGCTGATGAATTTCAGGGGGCTCCAGCTTCTGGAGTTATAAAATGGGTAGGCTGGCCTGCACAGTTGGGTCGGAACTCACACATGGTGTTGCTATCTTGTGGTTCTCTCCATTCCACTTGGGGTTGGACGCAACATAACAGCTTTGATGTATAGTAGCCTGGAGATAGTCTGGTAGGTGGTACTGGGCAAAATTTTTTTCCAGAAGGCTTTGTTCAACCTTCCTCTCTTCTTATAAATCTCCTAGTTCTGCAGAGCCTTCTTAGCAAATGCTCAGGCACAGATAACATGTAGTACTGTGATCTTGGACCATGCTGTGGGGCACAAAATCAGGCAGCTTTAGCTCACTGACAGCTTTATGCAGGCAGTACGCTGTCCCGGCCTCTTGCCAGGCCTCTGTGCTCTCTGGAATGTTCCCCAGGGCAGCTGGCCACAGCGCCATAGAGGGTGCTTAGATTCCCAGCAGGCTGGCCTTCTGAGGCCCAGGGCCAGCTTGCTGTGGGCGCTGTACGGCTTCAGTCTGGGTTTCACTCAGGTTGGCCCCAGGGTGAGCATAATCCTGGGCAGAGATGGTTCTGGCTGTGCCTTGCGATAGCTTCTGATGACAGCAGCAAGCTAGTTAACCTCTATCTTTATTTCTTAATCTGTGAAACTTAGATGATAAATAGTGTGCACCTACTGGGATTATTATGAGGGTTAAAAAAGCCAATGCACGTGAGTTGTTCCGCATAGCTCCTGGTTTACAGTAGAAGTTCAGTCAGTGTCTATTTCTGTTTCCTTTTTCTGGGCTGACTTGGAGAAAATGGCATATCTCTCTCTCTCTCTCTCTCTCTCTCTCTCTCTCTCTCTCTCTCTCTCTCTCTGGTGGTACCAGGGATTGAACTCAGGACCTTGAGCTTGGCAGGCAAGTGCTTATTCTACTGAGCTATCTCCCCAGCCCCAGAAAAGAAATACTCAAATCCTAATAAATATATTGTCCCTGTGAGGATTGGTTACTAGGATCCTTGCAGCTAGCAGTGCTGCAATGGGCACAAGCTGGGGGGCCTGTCAATCAGGATCCATGCCAAGACACGGAAGTTAGAGGTCTGGGGTGGCTCCCCACCCGGGGTGTGTGTGGCAAAGTACTTGGGGCCATCCAAGGGAAGAAGACCGGTTCATGCTTCACCACATGAAGGAACCGTGTTTCTGTGCTGATTGGATGTGTGTGTGTCTTCGCCAGGGCTGCGGGGATTGGCATCCTGACGGTGATCCTTGGAATTTTACTGCTCATTGGCTGCTGGTACTGTAGAAGACGAAGTGGATACAGAACCTTGACGGTGCGTGAAGCCCCCACTGCTGGGACCCTGCAGACCCAGCACACCCTCTTCTGCTTTCTCTGAATTTCTGCGGAGTAGGATAATGTTCTCATGGTTCTCTCTAGTTCTAATTGCTGCTCTCTAATAATTTTGAGGTTTTTTTTTTTTTTTTTGACGCAAGGTCTCCCTGTGTAGTTCAGGCTGACCTTGAGTTAATCATGTAATCCTGGCTGGCCTCAAACTCTCTCCAGAGTGCTGGGATTATACGCATGCACCATCATGCCCAGCTTCTTTCAAGCCACTGTTCCTTTGCTTCTGCCCGGATATGTGACCTCAGCAGGAACTTCCCTCTTCTCTGTGGTTCTACTCAAAGCAAATCCAAGTGCCTGGCTGCCACATGCAGTAGAGTGCTGAGGGTTTGTAGGAAAGAGAACAAGATGTTTGTGGTTCCATTAACAAGAGTATATTACAATCCTTTTGTCTTGCCAGTTCTAGAGATTATTGTTGATTCTGTTGTCCCATTTAGCGGCATACCTCTCCTTCCTTGTCTGCTCACATCTTGTCATAGTTACCTAGGAATTTCACGTTCTTCTAATTCTGTCACACAACGTGGTCTAGGACATCCAAGACCCCCATGGACATACGGTGAGAGAATGCAGTACCAAGCATATTTATTTATTTTCACTGACCTCCATCCTCCTTAGGTAGCTAATGTTCAAGAGCATCTTTTTGTTTTTTACCCACGTAACTGGGAAGCTAACACAATGATGTGGTTCCCTCTTCCGGCACCAGGTTCTCCCCAGTGGGACACACCGATCAATCCCATAGAGTATAAAATACTACAGGCTTCAGCAAACTCACTTCAAAGCCAGGCAGTACCTTCCCACTGAGGCATCCATGGAGAGGCCACAATGAGAGGAGAGTTGCGATTTTCTCTCTTCTTGTCACAGATACGAGAGGTTTTCAGCGTGATGCCTGATGGAAAGCTGTCTTCACAAAAGATGTTGGAAAGTCCTGTTCCTCATTCGGAAAACACTTCAGTCAGAGGCGGGTCTGTGAAGGAGAGGGGTCCAAATGAGAGGCACTTTCCAATTTCTCCTCCTTGCCAAGAAGCTCTGCAGCCTTATCTTCCCCTTTCCCTTATCCCTTGCCAGAGCGTGCAAAAGACAAACCATGAATGGTTGGGCAAATTGGAGGGTGACATACTACCCCAGAGCCTCCTAGTATGTTTGCATTTTACAAGAAAGGGCAGAAAGTACTGAATCTGAACAAGAAAGCTCCAACCAACACAGAAGGGAAGCTCTGACTACAAGGCTAGGGACTGAACCTTGGACTTTAGGACATTTCTCTGTGGTCCACCACAGGTTAGTAGGAGAAGGACCTTCCTTTACACCACAGAACTCTCTTTGCACATCCAGTATGGAGTACTGCCATCTTATACCTGGCTACTTACTTTTCACCTCTTTCTCCTGCTCTTACCCCATTTATGAACCAGGACCCTGTACCTGCAGTGCGTAGCACAGTACCTGAAACATAGCAGTCACTCAACTGTGTGGCTTCAGGGTTTGGTCTAATTGCCTACCACTGACTTGCTTGGAGACCTTAAATTTTTAATTTCTCCAAATCTTATCAGCTGTATTCTACACATGGACAAAGTGGAAACATGATATGCCACAGCCAATTTTTTTTTTTTTTTTTTTTGTGGAACCAAGGATTGAACTCAGACCCTTGCACTTGCCAGGCAAGCGCTTATTCTACTGAGCTATCTCCCCAGCTCCCCACAACCAATTTTTATTTGATATACTTTCTTCTATATTTTCATTTCATCATATAATTGCATATTAAAAATTTAATGACTTAGCTTTCAAGGTGAGCATGCTATTAAAAACTCATTACGTTGGTGTTCACCTTCTAATCATTCATAAGTATTGGCTTGATGCTTGACTTTTCTCCTCTGTGCTTCAATGTTCTCATCTTAAGTTCATTCACTTTGAAGGGAATCACAGAGCTTAATGCTGTTCAGACACTGAACTTTTGATTAGTAAAGTTTAAGTTCAACTTACTATGACTCCATCCCTCTAGATGTAAATCAGTGATTCAGAGTGCTTCTGGAATTTTTATGAGACATCAATGTGTTTAAATTCCCTGGTTCTTCAGTACCTAGATGCTTTTCCTACTTAGTTTCCTACTTAAACTAATGTTAAAATTTGTTTTGAAATTTTTATATATCCAGGAAAGACAGAATCAACTGTTGGGAAGCAAAAGTCTAAGAAACTCAGGCCAAATTATGTATCAGTTCTACATTTAATGAAATTATTACCTCTCTCTCTCTCTTTGGTGTTTTGATTCCATTAAGCGGAAAAACATAAATAGTAAATAATGGGCTAGGACTCAAGGTCTCTCAGGTGATGGGCTGGGACATGAGGTTTCCCAGACACCCCACCCCAAACACTCTTCCTCTTGGCCCCCCATCAGGGCTAGATCACAACCTCAACCCTGCCCCATTTTGTACCCTGGTCTCAGCTTACTTCCCTGGGGCACCATTCAGAGCTAAACCACAAAGAAAAAAAAAGACCTTCACTTGTGATCTGGCTGTTCCAGCCTGTGATCACCCTCCCCAAAAGCCCTATCAGGTTTCCTGTCCCCTTTTCTTTGGGGCTGTCTTGGTCCATGACACAGCCCTCCATGTGAACTTCCAATAAACCTGGTTTACTCATGTCAGTGTGTTACATGTGCATTCGGCTGCCTGAGTTTGACCTTTCAGTAAATACAAGTTTTGAGTACCTGAAGCTTAGCAATTTTCACTGAACTTTGAAAAGCATACATTCCAACTTTTGTTAACCACAGAATGCTAGCAAGGTTGGCTAAAGTTTAGACTGGCTAACATTTCTCCCTTAGTTATCCATTCCTGCGAATGCTGAAAAACATTTTAAAAGGACTGATTTTTGCTGCACCATGTTTCTGTAGCAGAAAGTGGAAAATGCCTTATATAAAACTGGAAGTTGCTTTTTTCTACAACTTAAAAATTTTTTTTTTTATTTACTTACTTGGTACAGGGTCTTGCTATGCAGCTCGGACTTATAGTGATCCTCCCATCTCAGTCTCCCCAGCATTGGGATTATAGGCATGTGCCACCACACCCAGTTTGGGGTCAGCATGGTGACCTGGGGTTCCAGGGCCTGCTCAGTGTGTGTGGGGAGGCTGGCACAGCATGAGGTACCAGGATTGAACCCAGGTCCTTGTGCTTGCCAGGCAGCCCCTTAAAATGCTGAGCTACCTCCCTGGCTCTGGAAGTTGCTTTTTATGTTTGCCAGTTTTACATTTTCAGCTGGACATTTAGGGCATACTTCTTTGGGTGGGTTTTTAATTAGAATTTTAAGGCCATGGACAACAGCTCAATTTATATTTGTGCCTGGTGAGGGACCATCTGCCCTCACTAAAATGCAGATTCTGAAGCCATGTCTGGTGGCCAGGTGCAGGAGATGAGTCTGAAATACATGCACTGAGCTTGAAGTAAATGTAGAGAACTAGCAGTGGACTGTGAGTGGGTCATGTTCAAATCCTATGAGAGATGACAGTTTTCTTTGTTCCCAGGGTGCCTTTTGTTTCCTTTTCTTGGATTACTGCATTAGCCAGGACTTCCTCTATGACACTGAAAAGCAGCCATGATAGGGTGCATCCTTGTCTAGTTCTTGTTATGAGTTGGAGTTTCATTTTTTTTCATCATTAAATGTGACATTAGCTATAGACATTTTTAGATATTCTTTTGCAAACTCAGGGAAATGACCGGCGCTGAGGAAAGACAAGACGGGGACTCCTTCTTTGTCTTTAGACTTCTTTATTCTCTGGCCTTCCTCCCTCCCCCTCTCCTAACCCCCCTTCTTATATCCCCCTCCCCGGACCTATCAGAGGGAGCCAAGTATATCGTCCGACACAGGCAATAGACCAACAGCCAGTTGCCTCGCAGGGCTGTGCGAACCAATCAAATCTTGCCAGCAGGGACCAGGGCTATACAGGAAACAAGACTCGTAGCAGAAGCTCCAGCGGGAGGGGCAAGGCTGAGGAGCAGGGCGCCCGTGCCTGACAGGGAAATTTCCCTTTATTCATAGTTTATTGAGAATTTTAAACCATGAATGGATGACAAGTGGTTTTTCTGCATCTGTTGATATGATCATGTGATTTTTCTTTACTGATGTTGGGGAATTACAATTATTATTTATTTATTTATGGAACTGGGGATTGAACTCAGGCCCTTGCGCTTGCCAGGGAAGCTCTTATTCCGCTGAACCAGCTCCCTGGCCCCAATTTTTGATTTTTTAATGTTCAACCAACTTTGCACACCTCCAATAAATCTCACTTGCTTTTGGTGTATAATTCTTCTATATGCTGTTTAATTTGATATTTCTTTGAGGATGTTTGTATCAATGTTCTTCTCTTGTTATGTCTTTTTCTGACTTTCATCTTAAGGTAAAGCTGCCCTCATAAAATGAATTTTATGGGCCAGGGAGATAGCTCAGTGGCTTACCTACCTGCCTGGCAAGCACAAGGTCCTGAGTTTAATCCCTCGTACAAAAGAAAAGAAAAAAAAAAAAAAAAAAAAAAAAAAAA